ATTCTAATATACTTAAAATTATGATCTAAAAAGGCCACTGTGTCATTTGTGTTGTGATGTGCATGATTGATAGCACAGGCTGATGATGAGGGCGAGCGGAATGTCGCCGCTTACTCTTTGATTATTTATTTATGGATCTGGCTAATCAGTAAACCCACAGCTGAGAAGCACACTGTGAAGGAGGCGGGTGGTGTCAGAAAGAGGAAGGGGGCACCTAACACTCATTTTAGTCCAAGAACACTTGTTATCTCTGATTGAATAAAGATGATTTTTGGAAAGGAGATTTTTATTTTCTTTGTTTGATATCCATTACGGGAAGTTATTTCCTGTTTTCCCATAAAAGGACTTTGCAAGTTTACAGCTGCGTCTCTGAATATTAACACTACACCCCTGCTTTAGAAATTAATCATCAAACGCCTCATTGTCACTTCATTGTCGCAGAGCTTGGGTGAAGACATGCTGTTTTGGAAAAGAGCTTTTTATAGTGAGAGCTGAGGTGATTCACAAATGCTGTCTGGTTTCATACTTTGCACCTGGTGTTAGAAAATTACTTTTGGTTTTGGTCCATTCTTTTTGACTTGTTTGCTTACGTTTGTGTGGCAAAAGTTTTTTTTAACGGATTCACTAATACTACAAATTATAATAGCACAGTTTGTACTTAGGCATAAATCAGCTTCATGTAAATTAGATAGGAGTGTGGTTGCTGGCTTATCATTTGCTGGGTTAAACTTTTGCCTGTTTGAAGCAGAACACTGTTAGCATTTTTATTGCTATCTAAGAGCAATAACAGGTGTCCTTCCATTCATTTCTCCAACCACTTATCCAGCTGAAGCCTGTTCCAGCCTAAGCATGGCACCTGCCCATTACAGGTCTAACACCAAATGACATCACTGCTTGGTGCTTTAAATATAACAGAAAATCTAGTTGTGGCCTGTCATTAATGATGTCAGTTCCTTTTTCTTTTCACCTGGTGCGTAAAAGGCCAGTGGTGAGTCTCATTTACTCCATCAGGTTTCCTTGGATTTCACTTTGCTGTAGATGAATTCTAACATTTTCAAGCCATCTAATGAATGTCCACAGCAACCTTATTTGAACCGGAAACTCTAGAGTTTGCTCTGCATGTGAGACTCACACCTGCACATTCATGGAATAAACTGGGTAGCAGCTCACACTGGGTACCAAGTGAACCTTCATCAGATCAGTTTGTAAAGGTATACCCATCATTATGTTAAATATCTTTACACTGGCCAAATGTAAAAATAGTAATAATACCATTTGTATGCTTGTCTGTTTGAGGGCAGTGAAAAATTAATTTCTTATTGGCAGGTTTCATATCATACTCGGTGCCTTGGGGCTTGTGTGATAGGTTAAATAAATAGCACTGATTGTGCTATTATAATGTAGTTTTCTCATGGGACATCTTTAGGTCCTGGCATTCGTATTGTGGGTGTTGCTTTTACATATATAACCCACCCAAATGCATGCTATGCTAAAAATAGGAAACATAATAAAGCCAAGCCTCCAGCCTCCCCACATCCCAGTGGGGTCCCACTCTGCAACCCACGGTACCCAGAGAATTTGTTTTCAACAGCCTGTGCCAGACACCCTGAGAGACCCTTCATTCATGCCCCAACAAGTGACAAGTGAGAGCTGTTTTGGAAGCACCAGTCATGTAGACAAAGGAGGCAAAGACAGCATACAAGCAGTGATATTTAAATAGTGAGGATTACTCAGAAGTCTACAGGCTGACATACCGAGCCCAAACTCATAATCATGAGAGAAAAACAGCTCAATCTGCAGATGCAGGTTCAAGGTCAGTATAAAAAAGAGTTTGTATCATCACATGAAGAGGACAGATGATGAGACCCTCTCATTCAAACTATTTAATGAAAATATCAACATTCAGGGTTTTTTTTTTTTTCAGCCACCCTCCAGGAATAAATTGAATTTTACACAAACATAAAAAAATGCATCCAAATGCTCGAGTGGGATCTTTCACCAAGCATCGAAACACATGACTACTGTTAAATTAAACGGATTTTACATGCCGGTTGATAAATAAATGCCTCTCCAGTGTGTGCAATAATGTCTGCATGTGTGTGGGTGTGTTTTTGTCTTTCAACCCATCATGAAGCATAGCGGCTGTAACAAAAAGCCCAAACGCTTCAGCCAGCATGTAATAACAAAGCTAAGCTGTGGAGAGTTCTGCTCCGTCCCCAGAGAGGTAGGAGGAGGGTGGGGGTGTGCACACAATGAAGAGCTGGATGACGCAGCTGAGAAAGGAAAGGGAGGGATGCATGGAGCAGAATCCTGAACAAGGAGAGGAGGAAGAGGAGGCGGTGGAGAGAGGGAGCGTAGGCAGAATGCGTGGGACGGAGATGGTGCATAATAAGCTTTCTAGGGTTTTCTCCTGCTCTCCTCTTTACTTTCTTCACTTTTTTTGGTTTGACCGACTTATTCGTTCCCATCATCCTTCTCCCTGTCTGCCTGGCTCTCTTGCTATTATTGGTTTCTTGTTTTCTTTTATCTTTTTTAAAAAAATATTTTCGCTCAAATGTCTCATTTTGTTGCACAAGCGTATGTTCTTATTCTTAAGCTTCAGAGATAAATCATCCAAGCTTGTATTTTCAAGCAGGTGCTTCATATTCTTCAGAGAGCGGTTATATTCATATTGAAACACCTTTTTCTTGTATAATTGCAAGAAAAAGGAAATTATTACAATAAAACTGATAATGTCACTGTTCCTTTTTTGTTTTTTTTCACTGGGTAATTCACAAAACAACACTGTAGTAGTGAAACCTGTTTTTTCAGCTTCATGGCTGTCTAACACACCGCCAGGGTCTGCTCAGGCAATATTATTTCACACTTATCAGCTTTTGGCATCACATTTGTTTAGCCACATATAATAAGTGAGAAGGAGAAGACTCGTCTAATCGTGAGCAAAGAGTAACCCGATGAGTCATCGGCATCGCTCGCACATTCGAATGATGCCTGGAGCCGCTCTGTTAAAAGGCAATCTGGTGAGAGGGAGAAAGGCGGGGTGAAAGCGTGGGTGGAGGGGGAACAGAGGAGCAGGTGATGGTGGCGGTGGTGATGAAGGGGAGCGATGAGGTAGGAGGGAGGGAGGGAGAGACGGGGTTTTCCTCTTAGCACCATCCCTGAATACTGAGCATCTCCCTGACAGGCTTCTTATGTTGGTGAGAGAGCAGGCAGGGAGGTTGAGGGAATTGTGGTGGCCAATATGTGTTCATTCATGTGTGTAAGGTAATTGTGCAGCGAGTGGGTGGATGTGTGAAGCAAGGGCACAAAGTAAGGAACGCTATTTGCTGTCACTATTTGTGGTTCTAGATGGTACGGTTGTGTTTAGTTGTGTGTTTGTGGACGAAAAGTTACTGCACCAGTTTGAAACAAACTGTGACAGCTGAAACATCTCATAGCATCTTTTTTCACATGTTGTAGTCTGTCAGTCTGCTAGACATCCCAGTGACAAAGAATCAACAGGTTTCCATGATAATATCAAACCCAGCTTCGTGTTTACACAGCAAGAATGAAAAATAAGTCACAGAAGCAAGAGGCACAGTCCTCTGCACACAAGGTCACAAGTTATTTCCCCACAGCAGCGCCTGCGTCTATCTGAAGGTATTTAAGTTCAGTGTACACCCACTGGCCATTTTATTAGTTACCCCCTGCAGGTACCGGACTGGCTGCCTTAATTCTTGGTCGCACAGATTCAAGAAAGTGCTGGAAAGATTTCTCAGAGATTTTGGTCCATGTTGACATGATAGTATCACACAGTTGCTGCAGATTTGTTGGCAGCACATGATGCAAATTTCCTGTTCCATCACATCCCAGTGGTGCTCTACTGGATTGAGATCTGGTGATATGTGAAGACTATTTGAGTACCGTGAACTCACTGTTGTGTTCAGGAAACCAGTTTGGTATGATTATAGGTTTCTGATGTGTCATGCTGCTGGTAGCTTACATCATGCGATGAGCCCACTGTGGTCATAAAAGGACACAGTCAACTCAGGTATGCTGTGGTGTTTAAACAACACTCAGTTGGTACTAAGGGGCCCAGCTAATGTTTTCCCAATCTCCTATTGTCCAACTTTGATGAGGTCACGCAAATTGTAGTCTCAGTTTCCTATATGTAGTGGCACCCAGTGTGTTCTTCTTCTGCTTTCTGTGTGCTGGTCTTTCAGAGATGCTCTTTTGCAAACCTTGGTTGTAATGAGTGGTTTGAAGCAGTCTGTCCATTCTTTTCTGATCACAAGGCTTTTTTGCCCAGAGAACTGCCGATCACTTCTTTTCACCATTCTGCTTGGTTTGAGCTTCAGGAGGTCGTCTTGACCATGTCTACATGCCTAAATGCACTGAGTTGCTACTATGTGATTGGCAAAGTAAAAAGTAGAGTGTAGAGTAAATGACATAGTAGTGCATTTCAAAGTCAAAGAGCTAACACTGAACTTCTCGATTAGTTTGTCCCACTTTGCCTAGCTGATTATAAATTTTGTTCATTCTGCAAAATGTGAAACAACCATTTAGTACGTGAAGACACTACAAATGCATAATTGTTTGTTTTTTTCCTTTGGTGGCTGGTGACTTGGCATAAATTTGGAGATGGATACTCCATTTGAACAACCTCAAAGGATGTTTCATTGGATTAGCCACACTGCATCGAAGATGAAGTGTCTACACCTACGGAAGGAAACCCCGAGATGTCTGGCTCAGTGAATGGCTCAAATATAAGGGGGACCGTGGTGGTAAGCTTTAGGATGATGCAAAAGAGTGAAAAAAGCACAGAGGAGTGGCAGTCAGAGACCAAAGCTGTCTCCCTCTTTCAGAGCAGATTAATGTCAGACTCCCCAAAGCTTCACATTCACCTCCCACTTTTTAGTGAATGAATGTCACTTTTTATAGTCTGTGCTTTTCTCCCTGCTGTCTGTCACTATAAAGCACAAAGTGATGTGTATTAAATCAACACACTGACAGTTACTTGACTAAGGACAGTACATTATGAAAATTGTCTTTTTCCACGAGGACAAATGACATGAAACAATCTTGCTTAAGGGAGGAAAACACAGACTACAGTCACACTGGTTCTCAGTTTATTATTGCTTTGACTGGTTATTTTCTTCTGTGTTTATTTAAAGTGATAGCATTATATCTACTGCAGTACTTGTAGAACATTTTAATCATGAGAATATGACTGTCTGCACTCATATAGCCCCTGACTTGTTATTTCTTCATGCCTCTTAAGATGCATGCCTACTGAAGCAGGGAACTGGGAGCCTGTTTGCTCTTCTCCCTGCAGTTTCCTCCACCTCAGCCAGCAACACTCTGCAGTTTGCTTTACTTTGACTGTGATACACGGTTTGATTGGTGGGTTGGCGGAATCTCAAACTTTGACAAGATAATTTGTGACTTCTGCTCTGACCAGCTTGTACAGGATGAGACAGACTTTGCATTAATCTGGATCGCTCTTTTTTTCATCACTTCCCAGTCTTATAAGTTCACCGGAGGTTTCCTTAAAGTTAACCCCAACCTCAAAAATGTATACAGAGCCACGCTTTTCCTCCAGCAGTACTTGCAATGGTTAGTTGTCATGTGGTTTTAATTAAGATTGCAACAGAAAAAAACAAAACTATAATATTAAAATATTATGGCACTATTTTGTTTTTGCGGCGTCAGTCCATGAAAGGTCATCTGGTGAGCATGACTGAAACATCTCAACAGTTATTAGATTATTTTTTTGAGAATTCTTCTACTGTGCTGTTGTGGATGAATCACAGATGCACTTCTGGCCTGAACTTACTTAATAGAGCAGCACTTGTAAACACAAAGGTGCAATTTAGAAGCATTGGACACGAAATGGCCTTTAACCTGCCAGTTTCCTGGTCCATAATCTAACTAATGTCCGATCAGGCCAGTGTGAGAATATTGCAGTTAGTAGCCCCATTGTTTTTCATCTGTCCTGCTTCCAACATGGTCTGCACAGAATATTTCCACCGGTCATCATGCATATCAATGAAACTACCTCTTGAAAATATTCAGAAGTGATCCTCTCCACTGTTTGGAAATCATGTGTGGAAGCAGCTCTACTCTGCTCATTCCTTTTGTTGCACCATGAGGTAGACATTTAGGGTTTGAATGGACATATCAGTAACAGATCAACTTTTGCGATCTCTCAACTTTGTTATTCTGTACCGTCAGTATGTTTCTAACATGCTGTGTGGGCTACGTGTTGAGTTGTGATCAACTTTTGTGTCTTCCACCCAACCACCAAGCAGTGGGACAGATTTTTTTTTGTATTTTACTGATCCTTTTCCAGTCTACGTTGTATACCAGAAGGACAGATTATAAGGTGTGAAGAGGAAGGCAGCCATTTGAAAAGTTCCCTTTGTAGATCACAGAGAGGATTTGGCTTTACTCCCCAATTATTTGGAGGAAGTGATAAGAAGAGGCAAGAAATCAATATGAGCCTAAGCAACAGGGAAAAAAACATGAAATGAGATTCATGAGAGGGAACCTTATCTGCAATCCTTTCCCATGCCTTGATTAACAACCATTCCCTAGAAATGAGGCACGCTATAACCAATTTTGCTTCATTCATTTATTCACAGATTGGAAAACAAGCCTAAAATAACACTTTTTAAAAATTATTTGGTCCCTCAAGGCTCAATAGATTCGGATCATCAAAAGCAAAGTTGTTGAGAAAATGTATCTTTTCTTTTTTCCTTTGAGAAAATAAGCAGTTTACTAACAAGCAAGAAATACAGAAATACTTCTACTTTCAAAGAGATAAATTCCACAAAATCTCGTTGTTTACAGCATCCTAGAATGACTCTTAAATCCCATAAAATACAAAATCTCTAGTCACACCAGTGTTTTGACTTCTGCATTAAACAACTGAGCATTAAATATGGACTGGATCGGTACCATTAGTCTGAGAAAACATGAAGATTTGCACTAAAATTTGAACTCATGCAGACCAAAACATTGCTATGCATCAACGCATTTGTCAGGCTACTGGTTAGTATACAAACACCATTTACCACAGTGTCCCCAGTTATATAATATCTGCCTAAACCTAATAAAGGATATTGATACAGTCTAGATATTGTGATATTGTGCTTGTATACACAGCAAACTGTAATATTTGTACAGATGCACTGATTTCAGTTCAATCCTTATGGCCGTTTTCTTTTGTGGCTGCTGTTGTCTCAAACTGACTCACGTTTGAGACATTTTGGCTTTTTGGGGGGCGTTTTGTGGAAAACATAGCGGTTTTCCTCTTTAAGATTAACTGTCAGGATGGGATGAATAATTATCAGCATGGAGGTGTCATTTCCCTCCTAACTGAAAGGGGGATTTGTTGATATTTTCTTCCCTTCCTACTAACTAGCACCAACATAGGAAGAACAATAATTGATGGCACAAAATTGCTCCAGGGGATTGTGGTTTTTAATTGTGACATAATTGTTCAGTGTGTGTGTGTGTGTGTGTGTGTGTGTGTGTGTGTGTGTGTGTGTGTGTGTGTGTGTGTAGGGTGGGTGGTTGGGTGGGGGGAAGACAAGAGCAATTAAAAAAACACTAGGCTCCCTATTCTTTATTTGAGTTCATCTCCTTTATTCTCAGTCACTGTTCTTGTAATAGGAAACTCAGCCTGTGCCTCAGAGTCCACTTAGGAGACTCCTGTCACACAGAGGAGAAAGATCTAATTTGGGCAGACTGTAAAGGAGCATCATCATCATCATCCACCCAAACAAACAGAGGAGGATAATGTTGTCTGCTCGGATATTTCCCTTCAGTCCTTTCAACTGCCTGCATGGCACCAACCTCAAAGAAGGGAGTAAAGGGAGACGGGGGACGCGAGGAGGACTCCCCGTTTCCTTGTACGATTAATATTCAACACCATCATCTACAGTGTTTCCTTTTATGCATATTCTGCATTGAATTCTCTGCCTAAAAAGCTTAATCTGATGATGGTTTTTTTTTGTTTAATTTAGACACAACTACAGCTTGTTTTTTATTGCAAAAAAAAGCAAAATAAGAGAGAGAAAAAGTCGACTTAAACACAGACACTTTGTTCTGATAGTTTTATAACCTTTCAGGAAGCCATAAAACCCCCGAGGGAGGAATCTGCTGCACTGTCAACTTTCTCAAGAAAATTAGAGGAGATGGGGGGACAGAAATTAGAATGTCATATGTTGACAAATAAAGCTTGTTTTGTAAGCATGAGAGAACATGCCTGCCTGATTAATTCAGTTGTAGCTTCATATCTAATAGCTTTTATGTAATTTCTCTTATCATGGCTTTAAACACAACTCTGGCTCTGTTCTCATTCTTAGTGCAGTGATGCCCAAAGTAATAAAAGTCATAGCTGATGGATCTTTGACTGATGAAGAATCATTGCACCAGAGTGCTGGATCTTGTCTAGTCTGATAGTTCTTCCTGTTGGCAGGCAGGACGTCTCATTTTTAAACCTGCCGCACTGTCAGTTTTCGCTGTCATCTAAGCAAGCTAGACATACAAAAATAGATTACTGCTCATTAAACAAAAAGTTACAAGTAAACAAGAAATGTGTCACAAAGCCGAGAAGCATTTTCAATCACACAGTTGGTGATAGAGGATGTCCTCAATTTGACCTTTTCTGTCATCTGGTCAACCAACAGGCTGGACACCACTGATCTAAACAACCACTCTGAATAACTCCATGTAGCGTAGCGTCTTCCTTATTTGGGTCAATCTTTTTAAAGGAACTAAGCCTACTAAACTAATTTAACTTTTTTAAAGGGTCTGTGTTGCCCTGCAATAGGCCACATCAAGATAATTTATGATTCATATAGTTCTAAGCAATCTTTGAATTCACAACTATGTTTTTACTACAGTATTTACTCTCACAGCACTGGTAGGTAACTGTTTTGTCCACTTCACTAGCCTTCTACTTGTCTAATAGCACCTGGTTTCACAGTGGATCAAGGAGTACAGAGGCCATAGCAGCTCTCAGCTTGATTTACTTTTACTGGAGAGCAGAGACAGAAAGACAGCAAAAGAGGCATAAAGAGAATACACACACAAAGAAACACTTAATGAGGAAGCAGTTATTTCTAAAATTGTATGATTTTTGATATGTTGATGTTAGTGAGCTGTAAAATGGGAAGACTCAACAGCTTTGTAATGCTGACACTTGCAGGGAGAGAGTGGATACATTTCTGGTGGATCAGCTGTATCTACGGTTATCTGGGAATTGGTGTTTAATTGAAACTGAAGCAAGACAAACCAAACAGAAAGAAATGAGTGTATTAGCAGACAGGAGGTTGATGAGGAGGACGATTGGAGCCCTGCTACACTGGGCTGTGGTCCGGAGAAGCGTGTGTGGCTGTCACGGTCACACACTCTGTAGCCGTGTCCTTGGTCCTGCGAAGGCCCGTGTACAACCTCTCATCCAGGTTAGCACTCAGTTTGTCTGTTAGCTCTGCTGTGATGGTTTGTGGACCGTATCCCGACGAGTCGAGCAGCTGACGTGAACGCTCATCTGGGGGTTCAGAGGGGTGGCTAGACTGTCTGCTGTCATCCTGAGGGTCAGGCAGCTCAGTCAGTCCTCCGTCTTTCTCTGAAATGGAGGGATGAAGACGCGAAGGGGAAGAGGTTGTGTGGTCCTCAGTATCTCTGACAGGGGCGCCCTGCACCTTTTCTCCATCCTCAGATGTTGTGAGCTCTACCTTTGGAGTTTCAGGTGTGCTGCTGGTCCCATCGCTCGTCTCCTCGTCAGGAGCACTGACGATGCGGGGCAGCGTACTGTGGTAGCTTGTGTCCAGGGGATAGTTTACACTGTCACCCCTCCGTAGAGGCGTCCGCTGTCTCTCAAAGGAGGACTGGAAGTGTCTGACACCAGGATCGCTCCACTGCTTGTGGCGCTGCCACTGCTTGCGTAGGTGGATTCGGGACCGGTGCTTTCTTAGTGGGGACTCCTGCTGATCAAACTGAGGGTCATGGCGGAGAAACTCATGGAAGAGCGCATCTGTCTTCTCATCTATGCTGTAGTCTCGGCGGTGCAGGGTTAAATGCTGAGGTGGAAGCTGTGCAGCTTCTCGAGGAGAGAGCACATGACCATATGGAAACCACCCCAGTGAACCAGCACCTGTTTCGGTGGAAACTCCTCCACTGGCACCCAACAACAACTCATCTTCAGGCTCCTCCTCGAAGAGATGAGATTCAAAACTCTCACCTATCGTGCCAGTTCGCCCTGCATTGGTGAAATGATGCCTTTTCTCGTGGGCTGTTCTGTCTTTGGGGCTGCTGGTGATGCTGCTGCTCCCAAACAGTCGCAGATCTTCCGGACCTCGAGACGGAGCCTCTATCGACGCGTAGCCGCTGTCCATCTGCAGTAATTTACGAGTCCCCGTTTCTCCATCATTGCTCCCTCGCTCTGAGTCTGTGCTTTTCTGTTTCTTCTTTTTTGACTCCTTCACCTCCATCTTCTCATCCATATAGACAAAGAAGTCCTTGTCATCCTCCCCACACTCTCCCTCATCCCCTAAATCCTGGGATGGGTAGCTGGGGAGACCTCTTTCTGTGTCTGTTCGTCCACCAAGTGAACACACACTGTCAGCATCACTGCAGACTGAGTTCCTGTCATTGTTGCTGCTCTGGTCAGAGGCTGCGTACTGTTCGAGAGTTGCACGTAATGTCCAGATGTCTCTGTAAAGTGACTGGGAATCCTGGGGATCAATGGGGTCGGATTGGTTTGCACTTTCCCTTCTAGCCAAGGACAGCGCTTCCTCTTGGGGATCAGGGGACAGGCCAATCACCCCTGGTCCTCCATGGCTGCAGCTGGGCTCCACCATCACCTCTACCTCTACCCTGCAGTATCCACACAGGGATGGAGAGATGAGATAAAATGAAAAGAAATAAAGAGACGAGGAAGAAGAGAAACAAAGAGACATGCAACACAAGTGTCAGTGAGCATTTACCTAAATAGGATGTTAATCTGAGACATGGTTGTGTTCACAGAGCACAGAATGATTATCATGACTTGCAATGGTTGCAGCTGCATGTCTCTAAAGTGATCTTAGCTGAACAGCTGAAACTGCTTAAACTCTGGAAAGGTGCTTTCATCTTAGGTCAGGGAATTTTAATAAACGTAATGCACGGAGCATAACATGACCTGAGGAAATGAGCATAAGAATCATTGCATTTCTTTGTTCACAGAAATGGATTTTATTTTCAGCAATAAAACAAATGTACACCAAAAACATTGATTTGTTTCATATTCAGTGTAAGAAAATAAATAGTTATGTAAGAAAATATGTATGAGCATTAGCAGTTTTTGTTGCGTAACATAAAACCCTAAAAAAACCTGCACTGCTATAATAGCAAACTTATATTATAATCGTACTTTTGAAAACATCATTACATCATCAAGTCAGCAATGAAATGGTTTCGTGTGCCTGTTATAAACCCCATGTCCCAATTCTCCGCAAGGAATCCTCTCCATGTGGCTCAAACTGATGGCATTGTTTGAAAAGACAGATCAGACTTTGGTTACAGAGTATTCACACTTAACTCTGCATTGTCTGATATCATCTAATTAAGGATCATAGAAAAACAATTAGTCTAAAAAAAGACAAGATGATAAGTTACAGTTTTATTTAGTTTAGGAACTTTTGTGTTAACGCACTGTGGTGGAGAATTAGGACTTTGAGTTGTAAATTACTACAAGTAGTTAGCACAGGTTTTCTTGCTGAAATAAAGAAATGAGTGCAAGGCAGCAAAGCAGTGGACGGGATGAATGGCAAGGGAATTAAAGATACCTGCCGAGGGAGGGGGGTGGTGTCGAAGGAGGCGAGAGGAGGCATGTGGTGGGCTGGCTAGGGCGATAGGTGACGTCATGGGTGCGGGCAATGTATTGGATGAGGTCTATATGATGTGCATCGTTGTCATCCTGGTCCATGCTCTCACTGGCGGCCCGCTGGCGCTGGAACTGTCTCCTCTTTGGAGAGCCTGGCTCGCATCACACATGAAGAAAGAGCTGTGAGTTATAGGTGTATGACAGCAGGAGTGAAGTAACATTTAATTCAGCAGAAAGCTTCTATTAACTGCGGAGAAGATTTTGTGATGTTATGTTTTTTTTTAGGTCACTTGGTATGACAGAAGAGGCGCGTGCAGACAAGTGTGTATATAGAATAAGGAGGATCGGTGTGGAGGATTTACTCAGGGGTTCAAATTGATTTGGAACAACCAATCTTTGCGTCACTGAGCCATCTGTCTATTATGCTTGTGTGTACATCTCCACCTCAGTCAAAAGGCAGCTCACAGTTGGTTGCTAAAGCCTGCTGCTTAACCATTGTATGTTTACCAAGAGAGAAAGCTGGCACAAATACTTCACACACAAATAAACCAAAAAAATAAAAGTCCAGAACCAGGAAGAACTATTTGTACTTCCTTGCTGCACTGGTACTGATTTTTCTCAAAAAGAATATCACAGAGATACCATCCATTACCTCTGGTGTCCAGACTCGATGCTCTCTGGCTGCTGTCCAGCTTCCATTTCTTGATCTTGAAGTAGGGACTGGCCCCCTCTAGACTAGCATGGCGCCGCAGTTTAGTAAGGAACTGCAGCACGGGCCTCTGGCCTGCACCGCCACCAGCAGGAGAGGCACCGCTCCCCAGCACTGCTGATTCTCCCACACTGACACTGCTGCCTCTGCCCCGAGGCCCCACTCCCATCATTTCAATCTGAGCAGAGAAAAACATAGTCAAAAAGAAAACCTGCCAAGAGTAGTAGTCTGTGTAAAATCCTATCTGACAGTGATGTTCCTTGTTTACCCATCAGCCATCATTCTTGCTGGTCCTCCCTCAGGCTACGTGACCCTCTAATGTCTGTGTGGATGACTCACTTGTTGACTGGCTTATGGGTGTAAAGACTGACTGACTTAAGAAAATGTATCACTCTACAAATGACTAAATATTCATTCCACAAACTCCATGTTGACCTAGATTCTAAACTAATGCCTTGTTTACTTTTTTTCATCGCACGACCTCTTACAAATCATTTATATGCATGCTCAGCATCTAGAAGGCCTTTGGATTCATGTATCTTTACTGTGTGGCTCCTCAGCAATAAAAATGTTGTGTGACACCAGCCTTTGCACAAAAACATATTAACAAGGTGATGTAAAATAATATATATTGATATATTTTACTCACAGAAGTGGAGCTTGGTTCTTTGGTGCTGTCCACCACAGAGTTGAGAGCATCTCCAGGGAGGGCACAGCTTGGACTGACACTGAGGCTGGTCAACGCTGTTTGTGGCAAGGGACACAGCATTGGCTGCAGGAAAGCACAAATAAAACTAGACTTTGTTATCTTATGCATAACTGCTGTGCATTTACATTCTTTTAGAAAAGTTTATTTTTTGTGCTAAAATAACAAATATCAATTAATTTCAAGGACAGATTTCCTTCTAGGCTGTCATCCCAGCTTTACCTAAATGGAAAATTAATGCTGGGTCTGTTGAAATGATCCCTGAACCCTATGTTTGGACTCATTAGGTTGCCGCATTTTCTTGACCTGACCCAAATAAAAGATGTTTTAATTGGCCCTGGTGAATACTAATGACTATTGTTACATCAGTACGAATGGCAGGTCAAGGCTGTCACCTGGAAGATGGAAAGGGCTGACTTAGCGACAGGGCGCGTTGTCATCGTGATGGTGTTCTCCGCAGAGTCGCACTCGTGGATGGTGACTATCTTGAGGGCCGGAGGAGGTATGTGGAGGTTTGTGAGCCGGGCATTCTTCAGATGATGAAAGTCACCCTCCGTCAGAGTGTACCTGAGGTGAAGAACGCTGAGTTACTAAAAAACTGTAAATTGCTGACATGAGTTGCATGAATTCTTCATGAGTGTTGAATCATGAAGCTTATCTTTGTATAAGAGGGAAACGACCAAGGGGAGATATTTGACTTCAAACCCATTAGAACTACCGTGATTTCTAGATTTAGGCTTAAAGAAAAATTAGTATTTTAGAGTCGGAGCTTTAAGGGAAAAGTAGGGCAGTGAAGTAATAACAAAGGGTGAGAGCTTTTTGTGTCCGAAGCATACATAATGCAGACTGATTTTATTCTGAACTCTAAAGTAACAAACGCATGTGGGACACAGTAAAAGGTTTAGATACTTTGAGCTCACAAAGAATTAAGCACTGACGTGAACCTACATCAGTGAGTGGTGAATGCCGATTCAACAACACAGGGATTTGCAAATGTGGGCTGCTTTGTTTGTGTTGGCTTTCTAACCTGCGGCCTTTCTCCTGGGTTTTCTTGCCGTGGTCGAAGAGCGCAGCCTCATTGAAGGAGACGCGACGGCCTGTGGGGCCCGTGGAGAGGAAACGCTCTGTTTCTTGGTCATGAGAACTGGCCATGGACAGGCAGTCTGACTCATCCACCCTGATGGTGATTTCTGCCCAGAATGAAGGAAGAGGAGAATGATAATTACATAAATAGCAAGAGCACAAGGACAGAACAATAGAAGAATAGAAGTAAGTGTGTGAGCTCAGCTGTAATGCTGGTCTGTCAGTCAGTGAATAAACTGTACTAGTATAAAGTGAAATATGGAAATACCATTTATGAATCCCACTGACTTTGGTGTGTTTTACTCCAATCTGACTAACAGGATACAGCTTTAATTCATTCATTGAAAATTGCTCTCTACCTAAGATGGGCCGATGCCAAACTTTGTAAGAATCATGCTCCCCAGAGGAAGTTCCCACTTTCATCTCCTGTTTTTTAGACCTCTGTGAAATGTGTCAGTGTGGTTTTGTGTCTCAGCAGTTATTTTAATGGATTGCCTTCAAATTTTGCAAAAGCATTCATGTCCTCCCTGGGATGAATTACATAGACTCGTGTGCTGGGTTCATGTAACGAGCGGTGTTTAATATTACATCAGGATGAATACACAGCATATTACAGCGCTGAAGAAAACGTGTCTGATTCAAGTCCCCATGGGTACCTCTCTTCCTACTCGTTTCCTCTATTGCACTGTGTAATAAAACTATAAAATGCCCCCCAAATACTGGAAAACTAAATGCACTGCAAAAGTAGTGTGGTACAAAACACATGCTGCCTCTAATATATCTTGTTCACTTGACACAGATAGCATTCACTGGTAACACAATGTCAAAATGTGTTCCTGGAATTGCACAGCCATTTCAGCTAATTGGGATGAGATCACAATATTTTAATGGAATAGACATTACACATTTGTGCTGACATGATAAAAATATCCATGCCATCATCCCATCTCTCCAGTTCACAGCTTCCCCATTTCCATTACTTCTCCCTCACTCACTTACTCGCCTCTTTCTCTCCTGTCTCCTTCTCTAGCTCTCCCTCACATTTCTCCTTCCTTTTTTTTAGTCCTTTTTTCTCTTACCATGGGTGGGCTGAGACTCCTCCAAGTAGGTGTTGTTGGTTTTCTCAGGGTCATTGCTGGCCCTGGGGCACACAAAAACATTCAGATCAATGCAGTGACATGATTACCCCTGAAGTCTGTCTGATGATCTGATGGACCCCGCTGATGCAGCCAGGCACTCTGGACACCACAGAACAAGGCCTTATGATCAGTGTTACTATCTGACCTTCAGCTTAGTCAAAATAATGCACCTGGGGCCACATGCGTGGCAGTCTGTGGTGATACACTTAAAACTGTGTCTTTGCACGAAAGCAGAAATGTTGCATTTTTTTTGTCAGACTTATGAAACTGCACTTATGCGTGGCCTTCCTTTATACAAGTCCATCACCATAAATGGTCACGTGTGCACAAGCCTCGCTCCGTCCTTGTCCATGGAAGGTTGTAAACATTCGTGATGTAAAAGCGCTGTTTCCACTGCAGATTATTAGACGAATGCTAATAAGACAACTGCAAAGAAGAAGCACATTTTCACCAAATGTAAAATTCAGAGAAAAGTCCCTGTGTTATATTAGGTGGTCTGCTATCACAAATAGAACAAAATTCTGAAAGGAGAAAAGTAATGCAAGTTGTCAACTCAGTAAGTTTAACAAAAAGAAAAAAAAAGGAATTTTTCTGAGACTACAGAGATCCTTCATCCTTATGCTCAACAATTTTCTACAGAAGCAGCTATTTAAAATATGCACAGTTTATCCCTCCAATAAATAAATAAATAAGAACCTCACAGAATTTATTACATACTGCATTCTTCACATTAACATTTGTTAATGGTACATTTTAATTGTTGAAATAGAGGTATGTGTCTAAACAGGTGTAAATTAAAAATGCATGCTCTGTGTATGTTAAATGTAACATATTATGGCTTACCTCATTTTGTCACAATTATGCTGTTACAATGGCTGCTCATATTAAGCAATAAGCATCTGTTCATGTGCAAGTAAACCCTGTGCACCAAATTCTCAGGCTGCTCCATCCCCTCTGTTTCTGACAGTTTTCTCTTTCTTGGCTCTGTGTGATATTGGTCAGAGTAGATATACTTAATATGGTCAACCAAAGCACATAGCTCTGGCCGTGACTACAGAAGTGAAACACTCTGTTTGTAAGGGTCATCCAATCAGAAACAAGGTAGCTCAAAGGGATGAGGAAGCTAAAGCAGCTAATTTCAGACAGATGATCAAGTAAGAAGCTGCTCCAAGACACATTATAAGACAAATGAGGACTATTTAGAACTACTCTAGAAGAGTCCAAGAATTTAAATGTTGAGTGGGAATTTAGCATAATAGGTTTTTTCTGCTTCCCTTATGGTAAATGGTAAATGGCCTGCATTTGTATAGCGCTTTACTCAGTCCCTAAGGACCCCAAAGCGCTTCACACTACATTCAGTCATTCACTCATTCACACACACATTCACACACTGGCAATGGCAAGCTACATTGTAGCCACAGCTGCCCTGGGGCGCACTGACAGAGTGCCCCTTTCATGGAAATATTACACATTTCCATGAAAGGATTGATACTGTTTCAAAAACATACATATGTACTTCTTTTATAAATAACAGTGCTGGAGTGGGAAGATGTGTACGCATGGTTTTGTGTGGAGGACAGAAAAACTGCAATTCCAGTCAAATCTGATGCAAGCTGCTTAAAATGGCGTTTTTTGGTCCCAAAATACGTTTTTTAACAATGTTTTTCTCCTTGGAAGTTATACTCCATCATCATTGCTGTTGCAAAGTTCTTTCAGTGTCACGCCTCTCACTTGAGTCACTGTTACATTTATACATTGAGTTCTTGTGCTTTATTAATACACTTGCATGTGAACAGCTTACAAATTCAGCGATCAAAGAACTATCAGAATAAGTTATTAGGACTGAAAGTCCACTGTGCTTTTTATATAAATGGCCTGCTCGGGTGTGTAATCAATGAAGGCCTAAATCATTGCCAGTAACTTGATAACCTTCAGAGCCAGGGGACTTCTTGAACTGATAAAGCATGATGCTTTATTGGATTGTACACTTACACTCATCTTTAAGGACACAGAGGAGATGCACAATAAAGGTCATTTTGTTTAGCAGATAGAGTGTCTATTACTCTATAAGCATATCTTTATGCAGCCCTTTTTTGTTTTAACAGCTTATAATTTTTGTTTTTAGTAGCTTATAATCCTCCACAGTGCTGCTTAAATCCCATACACAGGGTCTAGTTGATGAGGCAGAAAAAAGAAACTGAAAGCTGTTCCAGAGTTGTGCAGAGATACAAGTTGTATGTGTGCGTGTGTGTGTGTGTATGTTGGTGGGTGTATGTTGGTGTGCATTGTGTGGGTGTGAAGTGACTTAAGGGAATTTTCTTTCCACTCAGATCTGTGCTTCTCCTTGTCTTTCATTTCCTCTGTGGCTCCTCCTTTCCCGTTCAGGGTATGCCCGTGAGTTTGTGTGTACATATTCTCAGCGGTGCACACACAGCACTCGTTTGAAACGCAAGATTAATCACTGCCGATGGCGGCTATGAAATCTTATTACACTCATCATTTGTACTGGTCTGTCCGATTCTCCTTTTGCTCTCTCCCAGGCTTTTCACGCCTCAGCCTCTGAGCTCTTTGTTTATCTGCATCTAGGTGCTGTGCACTCATGTATTCAAGTATACGTGATAATGTGTGCTGCTGTAGAGATGGACAAAAAGTCTCGAGGGTCAGCCATCTTGCTGTACAATAAACACGCAAATAAATAAGCATGAATATTGAATGTCTTTCCACTAAGGTGTTCTCATAGCAGCCTCATGGGAGTCTCAACACTCAAATGGAAGACATCGTATAATGAGTTGTTCTGCTTTAACATGCTGAGATGTCACAGTAGGGCAACATTTATTTTCTTACCACCTACTGCAATATAGCTTTTTTGTGTTACAAAGATGCTTTTATTTGTTTGATGGCTCACTTTTTGCCTGTCAATGACGTCACAGTGAAGAACTGGATAATATTACAGGATGCTGTTAGCGTCATTTGCAATAAGCTTTATCTATTATGCATGTATACAGATTTGATAGAAGAACTGGTTTGTCTCGAAATAGCAGTTGCATGAAAGCATGAGAGCAGTCTCTGTGAACAAAATACTTTTATGCTGCTCGGTAAAACAACACCTGTGCACCTGAATCTTTTTTCTTTTCTTTTCTTTTTTTTCTTTTTTCTGTTGATTTCAAGTTTTTGGAAATTTTCAAGGATGTAGAGTTTGGTATTGTTGCTTGGTGCTAACAGTGACAACAGCAACAGCCTAAAATATTATAATAAAATTTAAACTCAAAATAACCACAGGTGAATCAAACGCACTGAGATACAGTGTGGGCATCACAAGCCTTATAAGGTTATTAGTTCTTAGATAGATAGATAGATAGATAGATAGATAGATAGATAGATAGATAGATAGATAGATAGATAGATAGATAGATAGATAGATAGATAGATAGA